TACAGCCGGCAACCTCTTCACGCCAGCATTTTGTCTCGAACGTCCAAGAAAATAGCGGGGCTTGCTTAACAAAAACAATAGGCTACGTGATTGGTCAACAACACAACGCTTGCTCGATGTTGTGTTGTCTTATTGGCTACCCGCCAACATGGCAGGTAGATTGACGGTTTCACCCGACAATCACAAAAGTTACCCGCATTTGGCGGGTGCCAATTTCATGCCCTGCTCAGTTACCATAGTAACTGACTCTGAGGTTAAGTTACCTCCCTTTCTGAAACAGACAACCCAGAGTTTTCCTTATCTCAGGGTTAACTTACTTCGAGTTTTCACTAAACCTGCTTCTTGAAACGGACCCTAGGAGGTCTCAAGGCAACTCTATGTTGCCCTAGAGTGAAAGCCAGGAACTGTTAGCAGGAATGCCTCTAGGCGTATCTATTGGTGTTGTCCCCAATTAGTGGCAGCTGTCCCGAATTTTCGCTAATTGGAATTGCTATTTAAGTTGCAGTTTGGACTCCACTGTTGTGGATCGTTGTTTGAGTTTGGTGCGTTCAGTTTGGTTGCGGCATCGCCTTTTGTTTGTTGTTTTTGTGAAAAGTGAACATGAAATTGGCATGCCCTTTGACTCTGACTCTGTGCCTGTGTCTTGCTTGGCAACCGTAACAGAAATCTATAGTGATGTATGGTTATTTTCTATTTGCTAATTTGGCTGTGGTCTGCTGTGCATGTGTTCCAACCTCATTAATTAGATCCGTTTTGCATGGCCAGCTCTCCGCCTACTATTCAACGATAGGTACCAATGCTTTGCTACCTTGAAGGCTCACTTCATTAAAATGGCTACGGTTGTCTAGCCAAAATGGTATATATCGTGGAGCTCCGCCCCCTAGAGGGGATTGGCTTGTAGTGTTTTCCCTAGCCGCGATCTCGTGGCCTCACTGACGAATCAAAATGCACTACTGCTCAGCCAATCAGGACGCACCTGTCCCTATATAACTGAGCGTTCCCTTCACTCAGCCTCCCTTTTTCTTCAGCTCGGACTGAACTACACTACTTTCATCTTGTATTACAAGGATACATTTTTGCTGTTTATTCTTCATAATGGCTTCTTCGTTGGAAAGAAGAATCAGGGCTGAGTGGCGTTGCGCGGCCCTCTCAGCGGAGGTGGAACCCCAAGAGTTGTGCGTGTCATGTCTGGGACCCGCTCATGCTAGAGATGGGCTGGAAGACCCTTCAGAGTGTTCAAGCTGTGCCCTCCTCTCAATGACTAGACATTGCTTTTTTGCACTATTCAGATACGTATACTATATTTTATATTCAGACATTAAAAAATTCTAACTACCCATGGTCTCTCTTGTCTGACTATTTGTATTGTTTGTTCTGTTGTATTGTTTGTTCTGTGGTATTGTTTGTTCTGTTGTATTGTTTGTTCTGTTGTATTGTTTGTTCTGTTGTATTGTTTGTTCTGTTGTATTGTTCGTATCCGTTCTTAAATGTGTGTATTAAGTGATGCAGCTTAATACAAAATTCCTTGTGATTGTAAACAGTCTTGGCGAATTATACCCGGGGCCTGTACCATGATGGTAGTTGAACAAACTCAGGGTTCCAGGATTGGTTCAGGATTGACAAAATCAAACAAACGCAATCAGGCTTTATTGGTACCATGAAGCAGTTCATCAACTTACTTTGTCAACCCAGGCTTTGATCCTTAAACTCGGATTACTCCGCGCGCGCGTGCACATAAAAGAGTAACGTCGGCACCGAACAACCAATCACGTTCGATATGGATAGGGCGAGAGGAATATATTTTGTCCGCGGAGGAGCAAGAAATTAATCTTCAGAAATATGAAGAATATAAAAATGTTTTTCAAGCACGCAGTAACACCGTCTCTGCTGCCAAAGCAAGAGAACAATCTTGGAGGATCATTGCTGATTGTTAATGCCGAAGTTAAAGAAATACATTTTATAGGCGATTAATGTAAAATAATGATTTTAGGCTAATCATATTAAAAATGAATGAAATGAAAATGTGTGTATTCATATATATACGTAATTAATTCCTAGCTTCTGTTCTGTGTTGCAATGGCTTCACGTAAAATGTGAAGCCATTGCAACAGAGAACAGAAGCTAGGAATTAATTACGTCACCTTTATGTGTCTTTGCTCACCGCTGATTGGTCCAACTTCTGACTTAGATCTCGAATGCAGAACATAACCTGCCCCGAAGCAGGTTAGCCGTGCAGCGTCAGATAACATGGCAACGAATACCGATTGAAGCCGAGCTACTTACATGGTACCTAAAACCCATGGTTAGGGGAAACTTAACTGAAACATAGCTGGCTAGCCACCAAAACCAGCTTCATGGTACAGGCCCCAGGTCTTTAGCAGTTTTCTATCTCTTGAATCTCGTCAGCAGTTCACAATCAAACCCTGGGTGTATATAAATGATTTGTGTGTGTAGAAAGACGGATTTATGAGAAGGAGAACCCTTAGGCCATAAGCTACAGGCAATAAGAGATACCCGACTACTCAAGTGTGTTGATAGTAGATATGTTGTTTGTTTTGATACCTTTGTTTGTGTTCATGCTTGTCCTTCCTGCTGTGTACATCCACTTACCATTTCTCTTTCAGATACCCTGGGGTATACATTTGATATAGATATAGATGATGTACACAAGGTTAGATGCGAGCGAGTGCCATCCCTGTATTTTTGCAGCAGTTAGGCTGTGTGCTTGTTATTAAAGTGTGTAGGCAAGGACAGAGGTATATAGAACTGTAATACAAACACAACCCCTTCTCCCTATTTAGTGGTTGTTTAATTTGTTCAACAATTGCACGTTTGTGTTGGTATTACGTTATGGTGTATTAAGTAAATGTCCCGGTAAGGGTTAGCTTTCAGTTAATATCATTGTCTGGTTCCTAATACCTAACCCTACAGGTGCCGACCAGTTGGCTTTATCCGCATTAAAGAGTTTGGTTAAAGCAGGGTATAGACAGATTGTGCAGATTCTGCTAGATGTATTGAAACAACAGGTGCTGGTGTTGCCACAGTCTGGTTCTTGTACCCCTGTTTAGGATATTGTTTCTCCCCCTGTAAGCTCTTTCTGAGGCTGAGAGCGAGGTTAAGGCTCCAGCCACATTGCCCCATTATGGCCCTCTCTCTCCACTGACCGACAGTGATGACAGGGTGGATGTCAACACTACCACAGATATAGGCAGTAGAGAGGGCACAATAATGGCAGTATGGCATTGAAATACGTGAATGCAGACAGAGACGCTAAAGTCAGAATACAGCAGCTAGAGTTGGTAGCAGAGACGGTACCCACAAGTACCCACTTGTCATGGTGTAGTAGAAGGTAGGATGGATGGAATCATGGCGTTCTTTGGGTGTTTAATAATGTCAAACACCAACGCACACAAGCATAAGTACTCTCGGTACTAGATAATCATCACAGTGCGACACAGCGCACGCTTAGAATGAAAAGGTCTTCAAATAGAAATCTCATAAGAGATGCAGAACAAACCCACGCAACATAGAAATAATACCACACAAAGACATGACCAAACAATGGGGACCTATATACTCTACTAATAAGGGAATGGGCACCAGGGCCCGTATGTATAAAGCCGCTCAGAGTAAATTTTTTGTCTTAAGTGTGTCAAAATTCTAAGAATGACGTCATTTTACTCTTATTCTTAAGAATAAGTGTGATTCATAAAGGTTCCTAAGTGTTAAGACTAGGTCTCAGCTCCTAAATTATTTAAGAGAGCTGGAGAGGTCTCCTAACCAGTTAGGAGTAACAAGATGGCAGCCGAGAGGTGGAGGCCGTGCAGTTTCCAACAATGTAAGAATGAGTTGGATTTATATGATGACAGAGATTTGATCAAACGATACAGGCTTGATCGTCAGGGTTTTCTTTTTGCATCCATTTTTAACAATTTGCAACTTTTGTCTTTCCTTTATATACAGCTGTGACCTGTGAGTGCAATTTTTAATTATGTGATTCATCAGCTTAATTACTTAAATAGCATCACATTTGTCCATTTAATTAATGTGTTGAAACTCTATTAAAATTATGTGAAATAAATGCATGTACTTATTTGTAATTTTTTTGCACAATGCAAAAACGAATTATTGTAAACAAAATTGAAATATTGAAATAATTGTTATGTCTTAATTAAATAATGAATTAATTGTGTCATGCTGCTGTGACCTCACCCTTGCAGGCTTACTATTGGCTGATTCAGAGGTTCAGGGCGGACATTTTGGGTTCACATCATTGTAGTCCTTAGTTCACAGCACTTAAGTCCCACTTCAGAAAGCACTTAAGAATCAGTCTTATACTTTACTGAAAGTTGCTTTTAGCTGCTTTATAAAAGTCTCCTACTCTTAGAAAAGTCCTACTCTTTACTAAGTATTTTCTGACACTTAAGTCAAAGCTTAAGACTATTCTTAAGAGCATTTCTTAGAAGTTTTATACATACGGGCCCAGGTGTCTGTTATGACGAGACCGTTCAATAATGTGATGGGGGAAGAAACGATGACAGTTTAGAAGGCCGGTGAGACAAACTCTGAAGCCTGCCCGCAGGTGGCGGTAGAATGGCTTTGGAGGGAGCTCTGACACCACTGCCCGCTAGTCTGTACTCACTAGTGTGCCATCCTCACCAGCTTCCTCTACACTTCCCACGCATTTGACATTTGTAAGCCTACTGCCTTAATTCCACTGTTTCATTCACCAGAAGTGGTTTCCTTTTTCAGCGTAATCTAGCTAGCTTTGAACTGGTTTTAAGATGTGTGGTCACGTCTACTACAGTATAGACTGAATTATGATAATGTGCTTTGTGTTTAGGAACTTGTGCCTGAAGCTGGGCACAGATATTTAAGAAGCACACACTAACCATTTTTGAGTTAGCCAGAGACAAGGAATACTTTTCCCTTTTTTATTTTACCTTTATTTAACCTGGTAGGCTGATTGTGAACCAATTCTCATTTGCAACAGCGACCTGGGGGGAAGCTGGTGATTGAACCCAGAACATCATAACACAACGTATGCACTCTACCACTAAGCCACTATCACCTTATGGTGCGCTGCCAGTAAAGTATTGGTTTTTGTGAGTCTTTGTTAATTATTTTGTTATGGAAGAATTCAACTGTGGACGGGCATAATCATCATGGAGCTGTGGCTTCACAGCGCCATACGCAGCAAGGTGCAATGAATTGTGTGTTGTTAAACATTCCTCTCGTAACTAACTTCAAAATGTTCTGTGACTCGTGTAAGATAATCTGGGTTCAATCCCCAGCTTCTCCCCCGGTCGCCATTGCAAATGACAATTTGTTCAGATAATTTCTTCAGGGATATTCTGCTCAGTATTCTGGCCATTACAATTTAGTAGTTGTCAATGTTGCACAGGTCTTTAATCCTAACCATTTCTCCTGCATCCAACATGCTGACTACAAGAAATCATTGTTCATTACCATCTAATCTACCCAGACATGTGCCCTTACCATCTAATCTACCCTGACATGTGCCCTTACCATCTAATCTACCCTGACATGTGCCCTTACCATCTAATCTACCATGACATGTGCCCTTACCATCTAATCTACCCTGACATGTGCCCTTACCATCTAATCTACCATGACATGTGCCCTTACCATCTAATCTACCCAGACATGTGCCCTTACCATCTAATCTACCCTGACATGTGCCCTTACCATCTAATCAACCCTGACATGTGCCCTTACCATCTAATCTACCCTGACATGTGCCCTTACCATCTAATCTACCCAGACATGTGCCCTTACCATCTACCCAGACCCAGACATGTGCCCTTACCATCTAATCTACCCTGACATGTGCCCTTACCATCTAATCTACCCTGACATGTGCCCTTACCATCTAATCTACCATGACATGTGCCCTTACCATCTAATCTACCCTGACATGTGCCCTTACCATCTAATCTACCCTGACATGTGCCCTTACCATCTAATCTACCCTGACATGTGCCCTTACCATCTAATCTACCCTGACATGTGCCCTTACCATCTAATCTACCATGACATGTGCCCTTACCATCTAATCTACCCTGACATGTGCCCTTACCATCTAATCTACCCAGACACTGACATGTGCCCTTACCATCTAATCTACCCAGACACTGACATGTGCCCTTGTTAGGAGATTGTCAACATTATTTGCTTCATCTGTAATAATGTTTTGTTTCACAAGTGTACATGTTCATACAAATGCAAACAAATGAGGAATAACACTAGATCAGTTCAGACCTTTCCAGACCTTTGCATCAGAAGTACCAGAAGTGTAATTTTCCGTTGCAGATTTCTGTAAAGAGCAAATCTACATGACAAACTTTAGGAGCGTAGCTGTCTTCTTGTCTGTGCCCTGCTGGCAGACACATCTACCCAACAGGCATTACTGGGGTCAATTTCCGTTGGTAATGCTGCCACAGGGATATGTTTAGATGTAGATTTTTTTGATCATCCTATCGATTAACGTTCCATAGGAAAATTAAAATGTGCCAATATTTTTTTTCTTCTTCTTTCTAATGCCCATTATAATTTACATTTCCTGTTGCTGCCGGATTATTTTCCTGCTGTAGCAAACTATCTCAAATTACGGCCTAACATATGTTGAAACAACTGGACTTGTTTCTGAGAATCTATAAAACTACTGAAATGAATCTGTGTCTGTCTGTCTCCGTTTTACCTCTAAATACCCTCCAAAACTGGACAGTGCCTGTGTTTCAATGTAGTTCCATATATTTGTGTCTCAAAGCTGAAAATGGAGAAACTTTTTCTCACTCTTATCACACAAATGTTAATGTACAAGCCAAAAGATTACAGGCGCTTAGGCACTTCTATCTGATAATCCTGGCTCCTAGAGCATGGCCATTAAATTGAGTATTTGAGATTACAGTATCTACAAAGGGCTATTTGATTACAATCACTTTTTATAAACTCTTTATTAAAATGGGATTCTTTTACGGTATTTGTGCCGAGGGCAATAGTACTGAGGCACTCAGGAATAAAAGTTTATGCTCTAAAGCAAAAAAGCAGGTGATGGGATCCAGCTTGCAGCTTTTCACAGCTGTAGCCAGCACTTTCAGCCTGTACCCCTATGTGGCAATCAGTGTACATCTGCAATCAGAAGGGCCTCAGTGTTTATTTAATGATATTGTTAATGCTCTGGATGCTAAACTGGCCTTTGCTGCACTGTTCATTGACTTGTCTAAGTCATACACTTACTCCATATACTATGTATCAATGATCCACCACCATATACTATGTATCAATGATCCACCACCATATACTATGTATCAATGATCCACCACCATATACTATGTATCAATGATCCACCACCATATACTATGTATCAATGATCCACCACCATATACTATGAATCAATGATCCACCACCATATACTATGAATCAATGATCCACCACCATTTACTATGTATCAATGATCCACCACCATATACTATGTATCAATGATCCACCACCATATACTATGTATCAATGATCCACCACCATATACTATGTATCAATGATCCACCACCATATACTATGTATCAATGATCTATCACCATATACTATGTATCAATGATCCACCACCATATACTATGAATCAATGATCCACCACCATATACTATGAATCAATGATCCACCACCATTTACTATGTATCAATGATCCACCACCATATACTATGTATCAATGATCCACCACCATATACTATGTATCAATGATCCACCACCATATACTATGTATCAATGATCCACCACCATAAACTATGTATCAATGATCCACCACCATATACTATGTATCAATGATCTACCACCATATACTATGTATCAATGATCTACCACCATATACTATGTATCAATGATCTATCACCATATACTATGTATCAATGATCCACCACCATATACTATGTATCAATGATCCACCACCATATACTATGTATCAATGATCTACCACCATATACTATGTATCAATGATCTATCACCATATACTATGTATCAATGATCCACCACCATATACTATGTATCAATGATCCACCACCATATACTATGTATCAATGATCCACCACCATACACTATGTATCAATGATCCACCAACATATACTATGAATCAATGATCCACCACCATATACTATGTATCAATGATCCACCACCATATACTATGTATCAATGATCCACCACCATATACTATGTCCATATACTATGTATCAATGATCCACCACCATATACCATGAATCAATGATCCACCACCATATACTATGTCCATATACTATGTCCGGTGCTTTTCTTCAATGGTGTGCATGGCCGAAAAGTGAAATCTTTGTAACATCTGACCAAAACATAATTCCAATTCTAGTTTCAAAAACACTAGGCATTGGTCAGGTGCTGAAATTTGTTTGTTGGAGTTAGTAGGTACTTCTGTCATGCAGAGAGCTTTTGGACCTGTAGGTGTTGTTAAACAGTTGATTTGTAAGTCTTGATACCCGTTAGATTCCACTGGACTGTGCAGTTCTGAAATAATAATATATCCTTTACTTGTGTAGGTCAGCAACCTTATGTCAGTGCTTTAGTTTAACCCTTGGTAATGGATTTTACATATCTGCAACTGGAACAGGTGAAATGCATAAATACAGATCCTGAAGACTCAGATCGATTAAAATGTATAGAATTTCATCACACCACTTTGTTTGGTTTGATTTAAAATATTATGTAGAAGAATTTTCAGTATCTCAACTGGTGGGTGTCTTGTAAACGAGGGCAGTCATTTGTCTGCAAGCCAATGGTGGCTTATTTTAGCCAAATAGCCAAAGATATTATGTTAGCAGCACACTGATATGCATTTTAATTGTTTAAAGATCTCTCTCCATCTCTCAATGTATCCTGTTCGTTATTTATTTGTTCTCCTTTCTTTTCAAACTCGGACCATAGCACTAGAACATTTAGCCCACCTTGTCCAGGCCTCTTCTTGGCCTCAAAATCCCCCTCTCCAACCCCGTTCATTAATGGCCATGAGATGACTTCACCCTCGTCCTCTTCAGAGACAGTAGCAGTAGTGTATACACGCCCGGTCACACAAACCCACTCTCACCAATCAAACAAACACCATTATGCCCCCATTGACCTCCTCTCTGACCTCACACTCCTGCAGCTGTTTTCTCACTTGCCTAAGAACCAGCTGTGCCGCTGTGCACGGGTGTGCCGGCGCTGGAACAACCTGGCATGGGACCCTCGGCTGTGGAACACTGTACGACTGACAGGGGAGCTGCTGCATGCTGACCGCGCCCTGAAAGTGCTGACTCATCGGCTCTGTCAGTGTGACGGATTGAAAATGAACATGTACATTTAAATGCATAAGACTGTGTACACTGGGATATATAAGCATATATAATTAGATATACATATGTTACTTTATAGTCACACTTAGTTAAACTGTGATCAGTTTATGGGCACGACAAATTGGACGATCGATTGTTCTGGTCTGCGCCAACCATAGGGGGAGAGCTCGCGGGTTTTTTCCATTCTACAAAAAGATTCCAGTGGAGACACTGTGCGAGTTTTTGTCTGAATTAATCTTCTCCCCTTTTCAGGTATTAAGCGTGATTATCAACTAAATTACTTTAATATATTTAATAATATGTTTGAGCGTATTGTTATATTGATTGTGTGTCCGAAATCGTTGATATGCATAGTTTAGAAATACGTGAGTTCAGGACTCCATTTATGCATGTTGGTAAGGGAGTTAGGTCTATATAATGGCGAGAAGCTTGCACACGTTCAAGTTGCGCATTTCATGTGTAATTCTGTTATGGTGGTGATGTGTTGACTTGGTTAAATATGTGGAGGTTATAAATAGATGTTCAGGCTAAAACACATAGCTGAAAGTGTAAATAGGCATGCTTACAACTGATTTGCCATAGAGTTGATATGCATAGATGACTACAAAAGAGTCCAATTTGGATGAGTTGAGTCTCAGGAAATCTTTTAATGGTTATTGTTGTTCTGTGTATGCTGTATAGTGTCATGAGTTTTAAGTGGCCT